TGTGGTTAGGGAAATTTTTCCAGTAGCAATGGGCTTCAGATTTCCCCTTTCTAGATTTGAGAACAGAAATTTCTTGGTGTACAGTATGTGACTGAGAAGCTGAAAGAAACATCAGCGTCCATGATCTTATGTTTTTTGATAGTAGTGGTCTATACATGGCCCTTCCTAATTCCCATGAAGCTCCCGTCAAAGCAGGTCATAATAGCTTTAATAGTAATCCATCCAGAAATATGTTGTTTCTGTCTTCCAGTATAATTATCCCCTCTCTACCAGGAGTCGGAGTGATAATGGAGGGGCAAGGAACACTATTTATAGAGTTGTTTTTTCAATCACTGTAGGCCAGTCCTCAGCATCAGAATGGGGGAAGCTGATTGTCCCCTGCAGATGACTGGGTTATTTTCCTGGCTGTCTTCATGGAGCCTAAGTTCTAGAACCAGAGAGGCTGTTCTGTTTCCTAGTCACTACAAACTCTGTGATTTCTACCAGGACTTAGCACCCAGGCCTGTGAATCAGGAGACACCAAGACTTCCGAAAAAGAACCAGTTCCTCGGATGTGCCCCCTCACAGAGAGATGAAGGGGTAAGTGAGGAAGAGGCAGGGTCTGGAATGAAAGATGGGTGGCCTGGGAGAATGCAAAATGGCTAGGAGCACTGGCTCTGGAGTCAGGCAGACCTGGATTCAGGCCCCACCCCATCACTTATTAGCTGTGTGATTTGGTTTCCCCATCTATAAAATGGAAGTAGCGCTACCTACCTCATAGTGCTATTCTTAGTATTAAATAAGATAGTGCATGTTATATGCTTAGCTTAGTGCCTATACACGTAGTAAACGCTCTGTAAGTACTAGTTATTGTTATTTTAACCTAACCCAGCATCTGTCGGGAATGCCAACGGGTTTGGGAGCCATATGTTACTGGGCTAGTGAGCTTCTCATACATTTCTTCCCTTATTCTTTCTTCTGTCCTTTCACCACAAACAGGCAGCAGAAAACAGCTGAAACTGAAGAGGGGACAGTGCAGATTCAGGAAGGTAAGTGTTAGGAACAGAACCAAGACCAAGCCATCATGGCCCTCCTTCCTCCCCCACCAGGCCATCTCCTGTGTGTCCCTCATTCAATGACATGCAAGTGGAAGAGAAGGAGAAAGGCAGTTAACTCACAGACCTTTCCTTTGCTCCATTAATTCAGGTGCAGTGGCTACTGGGGAGGACCCAACCAGTGTGGCTATTGCCAGCATCCAGTCAGCTGCCACCTTCCCTGATCCCAACGTCAAGTACGTCTTCCGAACTGAGAATGGGGGCCAGGTAAGGGAGGGGGCCAGGTGGCTGCAGGTGTTACGTGGGGTTGGGATTGAGGGAGGTAATTGAACATATTTTGGGGAGACCTGGCTTGGAAGATGAAGTGAAAATGTGGACTACAGTGGGGAGGGTACACTACTATAAGGTTTGGAGTAGAGATTGGTGTCAAGTAGGAGTATGCTGAATCCTCTGTATGGGGAAAGAAGGGAGAATGGCTGAATTTGTGTCTCTGAAGGACTCTTGTTTTGGGGCTGTATCCAAGGGGCTCAAAGCTTTATGACTGGGATTCCTAGCACTTATTCTTTTCTTCTTTCTTCCCCTCCCTCCCCCTTTCTCTGCTTCTAGGTGATGTACAGGGTGATCCAGGTGTCCGAGGGACAGCTGGATGGCCAGACTGAGGGTACTGGCGCTATCAGTGGCTACCCTGCTACTCAATCCATGACCCAGGTACAAGGGTATGAGCTGGGGAGGAGACTAGAGCTCTGAGAAGTAAGATGATGAAGGGAACCAATAGGATGGGGGTGAAGCTAGGAACAGTGAGGCATCATCTTAAGGCCCTAGGCTCTCCTTTTCTGGATGTTTCTCTTCCCCCAAGGATAGAAGCTGCAGACTGGTACAGTGGGAAGAAGTATCTGACGTCACGAACTCTGTTTTCTTGCTCCCCTTCCCAGGCAGTGATCCAGGGTGCTTTCACGAGCGATGATGCAGTTGATACAGAGGGCACAGCTGCTGAGACACACTATACTTACTTCCCCAGCACTGCAGTGGGAGATGGGGCAGGGGGTACCACGTCGGGGAGCACAGCTGCTGTTGTTACTACCCAGGGCTCAGAGGCACTACTGGGGCAGGCGACCCCTCCTGGCACTGGTGAGATACTGTGTGAGGATGCTGGCTGGAGGGGCTAGGATAGGCTATGGGACATGACTGCTGGGCAGTGGGCCTTCACTCATGACCCTTAGTAATTATTAAGGCCTGAGCAGGTAGTGAATCTGGGGCTGTCTTTCTAGCAGGAGGAAACAT